TCATTGAGTCACGCATTTTTATTAACTTCACAGGTCCTTCCTTTAATTGGAGTGTTTATTTACATTAAATGTGATGATTGATAGGTTGGCCATCTTGCTGTTTGCCATTTGTTTTCTATTTTTCTCATCTGATTTTTATTCTAACATTTCTCTTCTCATTGATTATTATTAGCAATTCTTAATCTTCCATTTTAATTCTTATATCAATTTCTTAGTTCTTCTCCTTTGGATCATATGTATAACTTTTGCCCTACAGAGTACAACAGGCATCTTTATGACAGACTTCTTAGAGTTAGTATTAAAACATTTCACATGAAATGTAAAAATCTTAAAACTTAATACTTTTGTTAACTTTCTAACCTTTCTGTGATGTCATCTATTAGTATATCTGACATACAAACCATATAATTATGGTTTTACATTGCCACACTCTCAGTGTAGGGTTATTATTTTTGCTATAAAAATGAAAGAAAAAGTATATTCTTTTGTATTTATCAACATGTTTATAATTTCCAGTGCTCTTCATTCCTTCCTACTCATTCCTTTCCATCTGGTATAATTTCTGTTCAGTCTGAATATAGTCCTTCAGCATTCCTTACAGTGTACGATTGCTAAAAATGAATTCACTCATTTTGTCTGTCTGACAACACTTTTTTCTTACCATTCTGACTCGAAGGGCATAGTAAGTAGACATAGAACTGTGGGCTCCATCTGCTCTTCCACTCCTTCTAATACCCTTCTAATATGCCTGGGTTTGCTATTATGTTTTTTTTTTTTCACTTTTCCTTGTCTGCTTTATTTTTTGTGTTTTTTCCCCTTGTCTTTGTTTTATAGAAATTTGGTTATAGTTTTCCTGGGCATACTTTCAGGTACTCATCCTACCTAGAGTTTGTTGAGTTTCTTTCATCTGAAGCTATAAGAATTCTATTAAAAAAAAAGTCCATAGGAATTTTCAATATATTCATAAATTATAACTTTTATTTATTCACATTTTCTGCTTATTTTCTTTCATTGTTCTCCACAGGAAAGAATATTTGATATTGTTGATAGGATACTAGCCTTTCCTTGTTTTAATCTTTTTAATTAGTCTGTATAATTTCAATTAATCTGGCTTCAAGATCATTAATGCTTTCATTCACGTCTAAATTCTGTCATTAAATATATCCAGTTACTTTTTCCCCAAATATTTTACATTTTAGTTCTAGAACTTCTATTGTTTCTTTTTTTAGCAGTTTCATATTTTTCTCTGCTATTTCTTGTTTACTCATTATTCTATTTAGTTTTCTAAGTCTTAGAACATATTTATAGTAGTAGTTATAAAGTCCTTTCTGTTAATTTTAGCATCTGAGTCATCTCATGGTCTTTTCTATTGACTACCTAATTGCCTATTTATATTTTTATTGTTACTATTGTTGCTTCTGCCAGAGTCTCACTATGTCACCTGGGCTGGTATTGAACTTGCAAGCTCAAGCAGTCCTTCCATCTCAGCCTCTTGAGTAGAATATAATAGCTGGGACTACAGGCATGAACCACTGTGCCCAATTACCTGACCAATTATTTATCCCATTTCCCACTTGTACTATGTTTAATAATTGTTTTTATTGTGTGTTAGACACATATATGTTGTAGAGTTTATTACTTTACCTGCTGATAAAGGGTGTGTGTTTTCTTCTGAGGATTGAAGGGAGGTTTATTTGGTGTGTGATCATTAATCTTAAACTGAATGAATTTTAAATCAAATGTACAATATGCTTCCTGAAGTCTCTTTTTTTCTGGCCTGCCTGTCTCTCTCAGTCCTGTATGACCTTGGTTGTCTCCCTTGAACTGTCAGTCCTGCAATCAATCTATGCCAGGCATTGAGAGTCCCATCCTATGTACATAGTCTGTCTATAAGGCCTGGACCTTTACAAAATTCCTAGTTGCCTATCCCCCACTAGGTCTCTCCCACCCTGATTCACAAATTTAAGTCCCAAACTCCATTTTCTATTCTCCAAACTGCAATGTTTCACCACAATGCTCCAGCTGTACCTTCTCATATCAGGATTGGAAAGTGTCCCTTGCAGAAACCCAGGGCTAAAATGATGCTTACTTCATGTAGTTATTTTTTAATCTCAAGCATCAAACATCTTCAATGTCACTTGACAAGTGCTTGAAAACTATAGCCTTATATGTGTTGTCCACTTTTATAATTGTTTAGATAATGAAATTAGTTTAGAACAAGTTTTTTGCTTCATAGAAGTTAACATTAGAGTTTTAAAAATTGGAATATAACATGTAAAAAACACATTTTCCTTACTTAATTGAAAATTTCTGGGACCCTTTAAAGTAGGTAAAGTGACTTTCCAAAGCATAGAGTAATGTTGAAATTGAAATGTGAGAATTTAACATTCTCATTTTCTTTTTGTGGTTCGGGGGCTTAAACTCAGGGCCTACACTGTGAACAACACCACCAGCCTCAAGAACTATTTGCCTGGGCTGGCTTCAAACTGCGATCCTCCTGATCTCTGCCTCCTGAGTAGCAAGGATTACAGGATGAGCCTCTGGTGCCTGGTTCTCATTTTCATTCTCCCAGGAAAGACATAGGCTGCACACTCAGAATCACATGTCCTCTTTCATGAATGTATTGGGGGCATTCAGTTCACTTAAGTGAAACACTTAGTTACATATTGTGCACATGCTTGTTCCACAAGAACCAATGCTGTTATTCCAATCTCTGCTCAAACATAGAGACTGGAAATAATTTTGTAATCACAGTGAATTTTGACATGATATATCACCTCACCCACTAGCCATCTACTTAACACTCCAACCTCACTTGTCTTCTTACAAGAAGCAAAATCAAGCAGTAGTATCAAAATGAAACCCCTTTTTATATATAGCTAATATATGCCAAAGAGATTCCATATGACATAATTCCTCATTAGGAGGTGATAAGAGAACCCAACAATCATATCATTCATTTTTGATTGATGGCAACAATATCTTCTACCAGAAAAAAAGAAATGATCAAATTTCTCTCTGTTCCCTATAAACAGATGCCCTTAAATAGGTAACCTTGACTAGTCTGTCAGTGGTTAAGACATACTCTGGACACATAAACTGGGTTTCGACTTACAAATAATGATGGTAAGTTTCAAAGAACTCAAATAGTTTGCCCAAGGTCAAAATAATAATAAAAAAAAACCCAGTGATTTGAATTTCTGTGTCTGTCTACCTCCAAAATTACATTTCTAGTATACCACAGGTTGCATTATTTTATGATGATATAAATTCACTTAACTGTCTTGTCAGATATTAAAAAGAATGGGTTAACAAAGAAGCTTTATTTTTAAAGGAATTAGCTCTCAGTAATTTTCTAGTAAAAATTCTCTCCAAAGTGTATAGACAAAGTTTTCCATACTTGCAGAATTATTTTAAGTTATAAAATTAGACATGTTCTAGCCAAAGCAACCACTGTTTTAAAAAAATTTTTTATTAAAGATAATATAATTTAGCATTTTCTTTGCCTCTTTTCATATGGAAAACAATAGGTCTCTCATTTGATTTAATGTCATTATGTCTGACAACACAATTAACAAAGCAGCTGCTAATATACCAAGATTTTTCAAGTTCTGTGCATCTAAAGTCCATTAATGAAGTTAGTAAACCAGAAGATTCACCACCAAATATTAAAAGGTTGTAACTCAAAGGAGCCTAACTGTGGAGTCATTCATTGGTTGTAAATTATGCTGCAAGAATCATCAATATTTAAATTTTTTTCTTCTGTATATACCACCCAGCAAAAACTGAAGATGGTTATGTACATTAAAAAGAGTTTAGTGCCCGGCACAGTGGTATGTGTCTGTGGTCCCTGGGCTCTTGGAAGGCTAAGGCAAGAGCTTGAGCCTGTGAGTTTGAAAGCAGCCAAGGCAATAGAGCAAACATTTGGGGTTTTTAATCAGAAAGAGAAAAAAATGAAAATGTATATCACATTTTTACCATATGTTTGAAAGAAAATAATTTTTACATGCCATGGAGAGAATCATTAGTCATAATTACTCAAATAATAGCAAAGTCTATTTTCTCTGCTTATATTTTTCTTCATTTAATTTTTAATAATAATGTATTACCACCATTTCTTTGGTAGGTAAGCACTATTTCTGAGATAATATTTTATATAAAGCTCTTAATTTTAAGAAACTATTTAACTAATGTGAATGAAAAGCTATAGGAGGTTTGAGATTGTTTAACCTAGTAAGCAGCTATATTTTTATAATTTATTTTTATTATTGTTGTACTGGAGGCATATTGGGACATTTACAAAATTTCTCACAATATGTCATAGTTGAATTCAGTCCCTCCATCATTTTCTTTTATCCCTCCTTCCCCCATTCCTGAAGTAGTTTCAAGAGGTTTCATTTTTCCACTTATATACATGTGTACAGAATATTTCTACCAGAGTCACCTTCTTACAACTGTTCCTTTTCAACCCACCTTCCACAGACAGGACCCGATTTGCCTTCTGAGCAGTTGTAGTTTACATTTAGGGAAACTGAGAGACTAAGAAGAAAAATAACCTTTCCAATTTCAACACAACTTAGAGATACACAGGAGAAAAAAAATCCAGGTTTCAAGATATCTTATCACCAAGTTATTTGATTGGAGAATTTTAATTCTAAGATTTGCTGAGAATGAAGGGAAATATAACAACCATAGTGCCTACCTTTATGGAGCTTAAACAGGCTTGTATTTACTTTAATGTCAGGCAACATCAGGTTGTGAGTTTTAAAAAGGCTAGGCGAAAGCTTATTAGAAAGTGAGTAGAGAAGATACTAACTTACATAAGGTGATCAAGGGAGGCATCTGAGAGAGCCACATTTAGGCGGCAAGTGGAATGAAGTGGGAATTTGAAGAGGTTGTTAAGAGTGAGAGGTATCGATTGTAAAGGATTTGAAATGAGATTTGCTTGTAGTGTTTAAACAATAGCAAGGAGACCGATGGCTGGAATGCAGTGAGTGTTCATGCATCAATCACACCTTAACCCAGGGGATCGTCACAACCAGAGCAGTGAGAAGGAAATGGTTCCCTGCAAAGAGCAGGGTGCAGGTGAATTGTGATGATAGTACTACTCTGTAACTGTGGTTACCATACAGGGGCTATACAAATTGTGAATTCCTACCACAGTCAGAAAATATACATCTGAGAATTAAAAGTAGAAGGAGCAAAAGTGATTTTGACTAAATCACTTATTTCTTACTTTTCAAAGTTATGCCAATCAGATGTTATGCTAAAATATAGAAACTTATCAAGTTATGTTAAAGCAGTCTATATAAAATAATCTTAAATAATTGTATAGTCTTTCCAGGTAGCAAAAAGCTTTCATACAGGCCAGACACAGTGGCTCACACCTGTAATTCCAGCTGCTCAGGAGGTAGAGATAGAGAAAATCCTGGTTTGAGGACAGCCCAGGCAAAAAAGTTAGTGAGACCCCCACCACAACACAAAAAAACTGGGTGTGGTAACTCATACCTGTTATCCCAGCAATGGCAAGAAGCATAAAAATAGAAAGATTGTGGTCTAGGCTTGCCTGGGCAAAAAATAAGACCCTATCTCAGAACAACTAGAGCAAAATAGACTGGAGGCATGGCTCAAGTGGTAGAGCACTTGTGTGAAGCCCTGAGTTCAAACCTCAGTACCACACACTATGTGATATAGTTTTATCTTTTCAACCCCATGAGGCTATAGTAAATACATCTTTAGCTTTCAGTGGAAGATGTTGAGGTTCAGAGAATTTAAGTGATTTGCCAAAAGTCAGATAGAAAATTACCATTGGATAATAAGTCAGAAATTTAGATAATACAAATAAGTTTTCCAGAAAGTTTTTGCTGTTCAATTCTCCATGTGTTTTGGACAATCCCTTTTTTATCTTTTATTCATTTTGTTTTCTGATATATTTATTATTATAAGAACTTACAAATGGTTAGTTTTAACTTAGGAAGTTTTACATGCACTATTAATAAATAAAACATGTAATCCTATGCATTATATAATATCCTAGGAATAAAAAATGATAAGTACAATGCATAAGTTGGAGAAGGGAAAATATATTTTTCTTAATAAGTTATGTAATTTTCAAGTGCTATATTTTCATCTTGAACAAAATTTTCTTATAATGTATGACTGAATGATTGTTATTGATGTAAAATTGTCATACATCATGTTAGCTAATCATGTAGGAAAAACAATTTTGAAAGGAGGACAAAGATTTGAGGAAGTAGTATTTGTTATCTTACTTAGTCTTCATCATAATTTATTATAAGAATTATTGTCCCAACTTTATAAATAAGAAAACAAAGATTTTTGTCAAAATTAAATGGCACATTCAAATCATACAAGGAAACTGAGTCAGTTCTTGTCAATCAACTTTATATTATTACATAATCTTTGATGTTTCCTTGACTTATAATATTCTCACTATTTATTTTAACATAACATGAATAAAACGAGTGCCTGATGTACTAGACTTCATAAAAAGCATTGTTTTCCTGTGAAAGGAAGTTGACAGTGTTTATTATGGGGACAAAAAAACTCATCATGACACACATCAGAGCACATCAAATGCTAAAGGAAATATCACATACAAAACTAAAGGAGGGAAATTTCACAATAATCTGAAGTGACCAGGAAGAACCTTAGGCACCCTCCTATTCAATCAGGGAGTAGAGAGACTTGAACATAGTTCAATTTGAGGGTTAGTTAAGAAGTGGAGGCATAGCAAGGAGTTGGCATATGATGAAAGCAATGTTGGTGGTATGATCAACCCTGAAAAAATTCATTTTATCCAATTTCATTAAAAAGCTCTAAATTTCCTTGTCCTTTGTGATGTTTATATCTTAAGGAGAATTCCTCAATGAGAGTTGGATAACCAATGCTAGCACAGTTACCTGGACAATTTCAGAGACTGAGCCAGAAAGTGGGTAGGATATTAGTAGTCTATGTGCAAAGAGGAGTTGGAAAAACATTCAGAATGGTAGAGGATCAAAGTGGAGTATGAAACTATGTTGTCCCAGGAGAATTCTAGAGAGTGCTTTGCAATAAAATGGGCTGGGGAGTAACTAAAGTGGTCCTGATTGATTATCTTGGGCTTAAGTAGTGTTGTGGCATACATTCATTATTTGGATTGCCATGGGTGAGAGTTCTAAACTTTTGAAGGCAAAGCTAACATGAATAAGTGTTCAGAATGTGAAAAAAATTGGTCACATAATGGCTTGTACAATGCTAAAACAAAAACCCAGTTGTGCAAATACTGCTAAAAGAGTGAGTGCCCAGAAATAATTTCAGAACATTATTAAATATCCATATTCTTAAGTTGAACAATGGAAATATTTTAAATTAATAATTGTGAAAAATAAGCAGCATTCACCATTTCTACATACATTATATACTTATTCTATTTCGTCAACAAGTATTTCAGTAAGCCCTGCTATGGTGGCTACAGTGAGCTGGGAGCTCAGGATTGTAGACATAAACACAACTCATGTGTTTCAGTGTGACATTTCAGAAGTAAAAAAGACTTCTTATTATGCTAAGATTTTTGGCACTGTTTTTATTACATGTAGTAGATCAAGGTGGTCTAGGATTTTATCGTCTTTTGCTCTAAGCCTACTTGTCTCCATTATGCATTATATTTGTTGTCACTCTGAACAGCTATTTTATTACCTTAGAATACAATTGCCCAAGTGATTTCCAGAAGGTTTTGATGACTTAAAAAACATCTGTATATGTTTAATTTAATTTAAATACAGTTGTGGCATAGGCTTCTGGATGGTGCAGCATAATATAAGCAAGTGTGGCAAGAGCACAGAATTAAGTGTCTTGTTATATGATTAATAATTGTATGTTTCTTGCTATACATGAAGAAAACATAAGAATAATTATAATTTGGGGGGGTTGTGAATTCCAAAAGTTTACACTGTGCTTCCATATATATATGAACTTATTTTTCTTAAAACAACTCATTGAAAAATATGAAATTCAGAGTTTAAGCATTTATCTGAAGTATGTATGGAACCAGAAGCAAAATCTTGACTGATTTTCTTATTACAAGTCTAGGGCTCTGATTTCTCATCCTATAAAAAGAGTGATAATAGCAAATATAGTGTAAGTTCCTTGACACCCAGCTTCACATTGAAATTGAAATTGGAAATATATAGTAGAATTTGCTCTTAGAGCCATCATCCAAGCTGGCTCAGAGCCCTAAGGTGTCCCTCTTAGTCAAGGCTGCCTGTGCCCACAGAATTGAATGCACTTAACTCCTTCCATGTTTACTCACAGCATGTCTTGTCCTGGCTAGATGTACATAGTTGCCTTAATTCTGAATTCTGACTCTTTGCACAGCTACTTTGGAATGATGTTAAATGGGATACTCGGTTTTTCATTTCTAATGAGACTTGGCTGTTGTGTAAGGGATCTCTTATTTGCCGAGTCAATAGTTCAAAACCTACTTCCTACCTAGTGCTGTTCCTGGCTTATGTCCCTAGGACTCCAGTCCCTGTACAATATCCTGGACTCTTTTCTAATGAGACTTGGCTGTTGTGTAAGGGATCTCTTATTTGCCGAGTCAATAGTTCAAAACCTACTTCCTACCTAGTGCTGTTCCTGGCTTATGTCCCTAGGACTCCAGTCCCTGTACAATATCCTGGACTCTTGTGGTTTCCAGAAGAGGACTTTAAACAATTGTGAAGCTAAAACAAAACCTAGGAGTTCATTATTTACTAAAAGAAAGTGCTATTTTTCTTATGTATAAATGACAACACAGTAATTATACATACTTGATGTGTTTTTTATGATAGTGAATAAGACTTGCTCAAATCAACAGCTTGGCATCAAAAGCAGACTTGGGCATGCAGCAGGAAATAATGTATAGCTTTGGACAAAGTACTGAGCCATAAGACATCTGAAATCTTATACACAGAATTTATTTCTCATATATTCAAGAGTCCCTTACCATCTAAAGACAATTCCATGTTTATTAGTATTGGGCTAGGCCTAGTAATAAAACTTTGGGATTATTTTAATCAGTTTGATTTTAAAATAATAATAATAATGAAATTCACAGCAAAATGTGAGCAATTTGTAAATCTTTTAATCTTGTCTTAGAAGAAAATCAGAACTAAAATTACCTTTTGCTATGGTTTGAATATGTTTTAAGTATATCCCATCAAAGGTTCATGTGTTAAAGGCACGGCCCTAGCGTGGTGATATTGGGAGGTGGTGGGACCTTTAAGAGGTGGGGTTTAGTGGTTAGCCAGGATTTGGGGACTCAGTCTGTTTCTGGTTTCCATTTTTGAGAGGTGATCTCTTTTTTCCATTTATGTGCACCCCACTGTCTACCATGGGACCCTCCCCAGGGCCAGTGCTCTACTATTTGCATTTTCACTCTCTAAATCTGTGAGGTAAATAAACCTTTTTTCTGTATAAAGAAATACTTTTATATGGTATTTCCTTATAGTAACACAAAACAAACTAATGCATATTATAAGTTGAATCTATATCACTTTAATCTTTATTCTTGGCAATGTTTAAACTCTTTCCTAACAATATGGCGGCAAGGTCATAAAAGAGCCTTTTATTCCAGTGCAGATAAATAAGGAATGTGTGATGGTCTCAATCTTTCACTAGTCTTTCATATCTCTAGTTACTCTGTTTCTCTGATTATTTCCTTTTTTTTTTTGCTGTATAATTCACATGCCAAATAATTCACATTTTAAAGTATATGCTTCAGCAGTTTTTAGTATATTCAAAGTTGTACAAGCATCACCACTATCTAATCCAGAACATTTTCATCTTTCCAGTAGTCACTTCCATTTATCCCCATCCTCTATCCCCAGCCATTTACACCCACTACTTTCCATCTCAGGATTTTTTTATTCTGGGTATTTCATGTAAATGGAGTCAAGCACCATCTGGACTTTGTGTCTATCTTCTTCCTCTTAGCCTAATGTTTTTGAGGATCATCCATGTTGTCACAGGAATCGGTACTTCATTCCTTCCTATGAATGAGTAGTATGATATTTTGTGGATAATACCACTTTTTGTTTACCTATTCATCAGTTAATACACATTTGGGTGATTTCTTCATTATGAGTAATGTGAACATTTATGTATCATTGCTCACATTTTTGTGTGGACTAATGTTTTAATTTCTCTTAGATATGTATCTAGAAGTAGAGTTGTTGGATCACATGATAACTGTAGACTTAACCATTTGAGGAATTGCCAACCTGCACTGTGGCATATTGTACATTGCCAACAGCAATATGTGAGCATTGCTGGTTCTTTACATCCTGATAAACACTTTTTATTAGCCATTTTTATTACAACCATCCAAACAGATACGAAGTAGCACCTCATAGTCATTTGTGTTTCTGGTTCTAAAGCCAATTCATTTATTTAAAACTAAGAATACTCTGAAAAATCATATTTTCTAGTTAATATAGGACAATATTAGTGTATTATTACTATTGTTGTTCTAAGAACTACAAGCACCTTCTCATTTCGCTGTTTTAGTCTCAGGTTTTTGGTCAGTAATGTTAGAACCATTTAAAATCAAAGTTGTCTCTCGAGCAGTGTCTTTAACACTGAGAGACATAATAAGTTTCCCATCTGGATATCACTTAGTTCTCTACAAATGGAGACACTGTATCCACATAGCCATCATTAACTTAATTCCATGTATAAATTTATTAAGTCATGAGAGCTTCACACTGAAATTCTTCCAGTGCACAATGAAGAAGTCTGTGAGTACTGTGAATATGTTTCATACACAGGATCCATATTTACCTGTAACTAAAAAAAGGCATCACATTCATTTACTCTTATTAATCTCAAAAAGGGAGAGATTCATCTCACATGTTAAGTTAGTATTTTATTGTATTGATTGTAAAGTCTCATTATATCACTCTTCAAGCATAAATGGTAAATTTGAGAGACAGTGAATATAAAGCAATAATTGTGAGTTCATACACCGACTCAGTATTTTTTCATGTATCTTTGAATTAGTCACATAACATTTTGGTTTGTGTCATTTGTTAAATGATGGTGCTAAAGAAGATGATTTTAAAGTTTCTTCATGCACTGTGTTTCTTTAGTATACTTCAATGTAATAGTAGTATTTTTTCTGATGCTTAATCCTGGGATTTTTATATATAATGTTTTGATTACTAAGTAAAAAATGTTTTTAAAAAGTGAAGTGAAAGTTATTGACATCAAGCAAAATGGTGCATGCTGGTTGGTTTATGGAATGAGTTTTTGCTGTGTAACAAATTTTTATGCACAAAGGGCAGTCCCTTGAAAAACATCTGGTTTCCCTGTGTTTACTGCATTTAATTTGAGTTCCCAGTGATAAATTCTAGTGCCTAGTTACATGCTAAGAGTCTCTAAAATGAGGAATTGCCAAGTGCTTCAATTTATACAGTGTTAAGTTGGGATCAGATTTTGGATTTGGTCACTGTCTTCAGTGACTTCAGCCCAAGAGTGACTCATACCTGAGTAGTTGCTTTCTCTGGATTCAAGATTGTATAAAACGGGAGTCCTGTGGACTGAGCATGGTGACCAACACCAGTAGTCAGAGACAAGAGGATAATGGTTCGCTGGCAAAATTTATTGAGACCCTGTTTCAAAAACAAACCAGGCATGGTGGTTCTTACCTGAAATTCCAGCTAATTTGGAGGAGGAGATAGAAAGATCCTAGTCTGTGGCCAGGGCAAGCAAAAATGTGAGACCCTATCTGAAAAGCAAACTAAAAGCAAAAGACTTGAGTATGGCTCAAGTGGTAGAGTGCTGGTATAGCAAGCATGAGATCCTGAGTTCAATTTCCAGTACTGGAAAAAAGAAAGAAAGAAAGAAAGAAAGAAGTTCTCTTTCTTGGTGCACTGGAAGTCATTGTATAGGTGCTAACTCAAATAATGTGTAGTTTCCTCTCTCTTAACAAAGGGCGTATATTTCAGGGTGATTGGATTTAACCATTGCCAGTTCACTTTTAAGTCCTTTCTTTTTTTTTGTATTTCATTATCTTTCTGCAGGATGTTTTCACCCCAGAATGCAAATTTAAAGAGTCTGTGTTTGAGAACTACTACGTGATCTATTCTTCTACACTGTACCGTCAGCAAGAATCAGGCCGAGCATGGTTTCTGGGCCTCAATAAAGAAGGTCAAATCATGAAGGGGAACAGAGTGAAGAAAACCAAGCCCTCATCACACTTTGTACCAAAACCTATAGAAGGTATGAAACTTACTCCTTTTCCTCTTTGGACCCTGATTTATGTGTTGACATCACTTCTGTTCCTTGTCTTCTTGCTTTGTAGGATTTACTTAGAATGTAACAGATTAGAGCAAAAGTTCAGAACATACAATATTACAATTTCTACTAAAAGAAACCAAAAGAATAAAGAGAATTCTGTTACAAATACTTGATAATTAGAAAATTATGCTTGAATATGGAACCGAGAAAATTCCTGGAAATCTAAAGTAGTGTTAGTTACCAGTAGGAATGTAATTGCCTTCTTTTTGGAACACAATAATTTAATTTCTCATGATTCAACCTAGAAAAACCACTAATATTATTGCTGGGCTTTAAAGTTTTAGGAGTATGGTTAGATAATCTCTACATCTCTGTGGACAAATAACAACACAGTATATCAATTTTTTCTTTCTATTTTCTAAGAAACAAAAATAATACAGTGTTTACTGTGATCAGAAAATACTTACAGCAGTAAATTTTATCCTCCACTGAGCCTGAAACCTTCCCTTCCTTGATTATTTAGTATAGCATTCAATTTATTTCAAATTGAAGAGTGGAATAAACTCATTTTGGGCAAGTATGTTTTTCCCTCAAAAGTTTCACAATTAGGATGTTGGGTGATAACATTTACTGAAATCAGTCAAGCTTCCTAACACACCTTCAATAAGCGGGCCTGGCCTAGGTATCTATCAACACAACATTCTTCTCTAAAAGTCCCATTATATTCCCTTAAACCATTGCCTCGGCCTCCTTAAAAATTAAGATAGCATATTGCAACTCTGTAACTTAATATTAACTTTATATTGACTTAATATTAGGTGACAGCATGCTGTCACCTAAATATCTCTTGAGGTGCAGTCAACCAGTGTCCACAATGCCCACTCCATGGTATATAGTGCGTATGACTACAATAGCTAACAAACATCTACATCAAAACTATATTCAAAGCATTGGGTGGAATGTGACATTCAAAGCCCCTGGTCCATAGAAGAAATGATTCACTATTGCAACTCATTATTTTCCAGTTTCTTTTCTCATCTACTGTACACAGGTAGCATTTTCAATGTGACTCCACTGAAGATGGAGTTGTCTGGTTTTCTGAAAACATTGTTTCCCCCTTTGGGTTCTTTACATTGTGAGAATAGTATATTTAAGGAGAATATTTAAATGTAATATTAAATAAATAGTCAAAAGGGGAGAAAAAGATCTCTTAGTCCCTCTTAAACTTCCTCTTATACACTGTTTTTAACCACACAAAACTGAAAATTTGCTATTTTGAGCCTCATGCTGTCCATCTTACCCCCAATTACCACTCACTTATCTCCTCTGCCTGAAAAGTGCTGATTAAACTTGGTGAAGAATCAGTTCAATTCAAGGGGACCAGGAATACAGCTTGATGATAAAACATTTGACTAGCATGCACAACGCCCTGGGTTCAATCCCCAGCACCACAAAACAAAAGACCCTAATTCAAGAGTCCCTACTTCTGTAATGACCTCCCAGGCTTTCTTCAAGAATTAAGCTTCCTGTCTTCTCATTGTATACTTTTCTCTCCCATGGAAATGATTACATTGCATTAAGTTTACCTGTTAACCTTCTGTCTCCTCTTACTCATGGTTATCTCACTGTTAATGAACAGAGCATGTTTTACTTTTACTTTTGGCTCATATTTTCCTGTGTCTTACACAATCTCTGGTGTATCATAAGAAGATATTTAATTATCAGTTGTCAGTTGAATCAGTGAATGTGTGAATGAACAAATGAATAAATAGAAAAGTGTAACAACAAAGAATTTTATGCTCCAGAGAACTTTATAGCATTTTAGGGGTATGAAATATCTTTACTAATAACAATAATATAGTGGGAACAGTTGTGTATTTCATGCAGTAGGAACTGACATTGGGAATTAAAGAGGAATGATCACTTCTACAAAAAGGAAGGTTCATTAAGAAGCTGATATTTAAACATATTTTTAGGGCTAGGCCAGGCTCATATAATTCAAGATGAGGAGGGAATTGCAATGTGAGCCAAGGCAGAAAACTGCCTGCTTAAGCACAGAGTACCTATGAAGTAGGTAATATTTTCATGGAAACCACATTGAGTCTCAAGAATGTTTTTGACAAATTATGCTTTTAACAACTGTATCATTTTTATTTATGCATTTAAGTTGATATCTTTCCTTTTACAAAAGTAGAACCTTGTCATTAACAATTTTTTGGAAAATTCAGAAAACATAAAAAACTATGTATTTTATTCATTCCTTATATAGGCAGTGCATTCATACTGAACCCCTCTCACCTTGTACCTGAAGAAATACTTAAAACCTACCTTACTAATTGTAGCTGTTACTTGCACTTTGGTTAGTGAGGTTTCCTCTTGGTTCTGAATGACCATGTGTACATGTTCAAAACAAATGATTATGTTTCCCAGCTCTAGAGCTACTTAAATTCTATTTATTTCTGAGAGTATGGGAAGCTACAACTAGACACCCTGATGTATAAGTTAGAATTAGATTTGGATTCACATAGCACAAAACCCATGTCAACAGTAGCTTAATCAACTCCTATTCCTTCCCAAACCAAATCTTGAGACAAGCTGTTCAGGAATGGTGTTGTGGCTTTCCAATTGTAGGTTCCTCAACTGCATCCAGCTTTTCATGCCTCTCTCCCTTGTGTGTTGTTATGATTTAGTGATAGAGCTTCTTACTGCATTATTAACACAACTTGGACATTCTCTTATCCCTGTGATCCAACCATTGTCCTTACCATAATCAGAAAGCAGAGCAGGCATGAAGAAGACAGAATCAAAAATCCGTGTAAATATTCTTCTGACATGTAGGTGCAGGGAAAGAAGCATGTAGCCTTCATTGTGGATGACCATGTACTGAGTACATATTCAGTTTGTGAAGGACACTGATAGAATGAGTATAGTGACAACTAACAATGTGTACTTCAATCTTTATTTTCTTTACTTTAGAATATCTCTGATTTCCTTATTGACATCTTTTAGTTTCTTGTTTTTAATTTTTGTTATTTACTGATGCTTTATAATGATCTTCAGGAAAAAAAAGCCATTCTAAATCAGATTTACTTATATCTGGATTTACTTCCAAGGTTCTTTGTCTCTTTTCTTTGTGGGAATGAAAACAGGTCTGAAATTTAAAGAATAATGAGAATAACATTTGAAGATGAAAGCTTAACTGGCTTTAGATCAAAGACCTTTTAATTCCATGTGAATGTCTTTGAAATTTGTCTTAGAGAGTATTGTTTTAGCAATATTAACAGTTAACAGTTAATATAAAAAGTTAACAGTTTTATAAATGCTTTTTTGTATAGAGCATGAAGGTCTCCACTAAGCTGCAAAGACTTTTATTTCTAAAGGACAGGTATAGTCCAGATTAAATAGTATAGTGTTCTAAGCATGCCTGTTATTTTCTCATTTTCATTCTATTTCTGTAAAGTAGGTCTTAGTATTATCCACATTTATAAATGTTCAAAATGAACATTTTGCAAAGACACATTAAGTAATTTGTCCCGAATCATGTTGTTAGTGAGTGGTAGAGCCAGAATTCAAGCCAAAGCATTCTAAACTAAGCAACGAAGTATTTAGCCTTCATGAACACTATAGCCTAAAGTCTGAGAAAAGTTGTAGATGTAACCTAAACATAGGGAAACAGGATCCTAGTGAATGCTCTTGAATAAATCTCTACTAATTGCTTCTCTTCTATTTAATCTGGACTATACCTGTCCTTTAGAAATAAAAGTCTTTGCAGATTAGTGGAGACCTTCATGCTCTTATAATTTATCTGATACACATGGAGTTGGTACTTCCTTTATGTCTCACATGTCATTATTATAATATAAGTGTGAACAATTACCCAGTGATTTTCATGCAATTATATTTTATACTATTAGGTTTCCAACATTATGAAAAATACTTGAGGTTATATTGGGCATTATTCTACTGTGCATAAGACCTTCCCTGATGGTTCCCCAAACCATTCTTGGTACTTCTATTATTAACATTCTTATTAGTCTTATTTCTTCTATATGCAATTTATCAATTTACCACTTGCTAGGCAGGCTGCATATATTATTTCTGTAAAACCTTCAACAGCCCTATGTTGTTATCTTTATTTTATTGACGAGGAGACTAATATTTAAAGTATTTAAGTAAGTTGTCCAAGATCACAGGACTACAAAACTGCTAAACTGAGATTGCAAACCAGGAAGCCCTGTCCCAGGGCCTATGTACTTAACCCCTGCACCATACTGCCCTTTAATCTGAGCTACACCAGTGAATATGAAAATGCTCTGAAAAGTCAGTGTTAGCAAAGCAGAAATGCTATACCATAATGCAAATTGCATAGTAAGCTAATTACAAACCATGCAGAACTGAGACAGGTATACATCATATCGTGAGAAAAATGAGTATTTGTAGATGATCAGATAGCACAGTTAATGGAATGCCAGGCTCAAATTCAGCAAGAAAGAATTAAGAATACATTGTTTCTTTTTTCTGATGAATTCCAGCAGATTTCATTTACTACTCTGTAAAATAATTTGGATGAGATGATCTCTAATGTTCCTTGGCAATGACGTTGTGTAATGGTCTTTGTAAGCACTTTAGTGGAAAACCATCTTCCTTCATGTAATCTAGCACTAGGTTTACATATAAAATAGTCTGAACACATTTCCTTTGTTAAATTGGTGACTGAATAAAGTACAGTTGTTCAAGCTATTTCCCTCATGGGTAATTTGTAACTCATTTATTTATTTTAGATGAAGGATTAGGATGAAAGCCATTCTCACTACAACTCATATTTTTAAAAAGCTTTTTCAGCCAGAAAGTGGTGGCTAGAATCCTAGCTACATGAGAGCAGAGATCAGGAGGATCTCAGTTCGAAGCCAGTGGTAGACAAATAGTTTCCCAAGACCCTATCTTGAAAACAGCCAAAACAAAGCATGACTGGCAGAGTAGTT